TGCTATTATGTATTATAAAATACTATCAGTGTTAACATATGATATTATGTGAATCTTACCAAGTTTTTTGTCAAGAAATTAAGGGATTTTTTAATTCCATTTTTCCATTCGAATACCATTATAGTATTTTCATAGTTATGCTATTATGTGTTATAAAATATAATCAATGTTAACATATAATGTTCTTTACATCCGTAAAGGATCTATGAAATAATTTAAGTACCGGTTCTTTATAATTTTCACGAGGAGGAAAACTTACTAAGTTTTTGTCGCGACATAAAAGATTTTTGAATTTCATTTTTTCATTCGAATTCCATTAAATTGTTTTCATAGTTATGCTATTATTCATTATAAAATATTATCAGCGTTAACATATGATGTTCTTTACATTCATAAAGATCTATGAAATAGTTTACGCTACCGGTTCTTTATATTTGTCACGAGGAGGAAAATTTTTCAAATTTATGTCACAACATTATAGGATTTTTGAATTCCATTTTTTCATTCGAATACCATTATAGTATTTTAATAGTTATGCTATTATGTGTTATAAAATATAATCACTGTTAACATATAATGTTCTTTACATCCATAAAGGATCTATGAAATAGTTTAAGCTACCGATTCTTTATATTTTTCCACAGGAGAAAAATCTTATTAAATGCTACGATATTAAAGAATTTTTGAATTCCATTATTTCATTCGAATTCCTTTACAGTATTTTTCATGGTTATGCTATTATTTATTATAAAATATTATCAGTGTCAACATATGATATTCTTTACATCCATATTGAAGGATCTTAAATGAAACAGTATAGGCTACCGGTTCTTTATATTTTTCAAGAGGAGAAAAGCCTTACTAAATTTTTGTCATGGCATTAAAAGATTTTTGAGTTTCATTTTATTTATTCGAATTTCATTACAGTATTTTTCATAATTATGCTATTATCAGGGCCGAATTATCCTATAGGCTAACTAGGCTTCAGCCTAGGGCCTCAAGATCAAGAGGGCCTTACATTCAAATTGTTAGCAAAATTAGAATTGCACTATTCTAAAAACAGTAACCACTAAAACGCTGAATCGAAAATAAGGAGAAATTCTACACATATGACTAATAAACAAACATAAAAGTGTATTGGTTAAGATCAACGCGTTCGGCTGATTGGGTTTGTCCGTTTGTAAAGACTAGATTACACCAAAGTATAGTTCATACGTTCACTGATTGCTATGGCAAATATTGACGCACTTTATGCTACTAAGTTCTGGTTTATTCTTGCATAAATAAAGTGCAGATTGGAACAGACAAACGATATTTGAATATACGATATACAATTATTGAACAACGATATACAATTTGATATTTTCTTTTTGGGGATCTGGATTTTGTTTGATTTTGTTTCCATTGTTGTTTCATTATTATTATTGTTATTATTATTATTATTATTATTATTGAAGTTTCATTTTGGTTTTGTTTAAAATTTAAAATTCATAATAATTCACACTTAAACTTTAAATGCGAATTATTATGAGATAAATTTATCCGAATTGAATTTGCTTTAATCTTCAATGTATTGAATATATTTAATTTAATTTGATAGAAAATATGATAATTTTTATTGCCTATTTTATTTTCGTGTGCAAAGATTTTTATGATTTGAATTTTGTTTTTTTGTAAATTTTGTCAAATTTTGTTTTTATTATGTTTGATTAGTTATTGTTACAAGTACTATATATGGTACGGAGAATAAATGTTAGTGTTCTCGACTTTTTTTTTATTTATTATCCGTGCCACATTTTTTATAAAGATTAGTACCATTCACAACATGTTTCATTTAGCATACTGATACACAACTTAAAAATGGAAGGTGAAAGGTCCTCATAAGTGGAAAAGCCTAGGGCCTCTTTTCATCTAAATCCGGCCCTGGCTATTATATATTATAAAATATTACCAGTGTGAACATGTGATATTCTTTACATCCATATTTAAGAATCTTAAGTTTTTAAGAACTAGTTTAGGCTACCGGTTCTTTATAAAAAAGGAGAGAGATTTATTTAAAAGCGTATTTTTCATAACGAAATCCTGTTTGTATCAGCTGGAAAATCTTGCTGTGTCTACGTGAAGAAAAAGAAATTCAGCAATAATCAGATAAAGCTACGATTGCATGTTATTGCACTACAAATTTGTGTAACTGTCGAAATCAAAACATCTGCCATGAGAATTTGAAACTAACAGGGTTAATTTCAACAGCTCACTTCACAAACAACTGAGAAGACAAGACATTGAAAATCGCGTAACACATTTGAGACGTTGTTAAGATATTTAGCACAGCACATTGGTCGTCACCCTTGTTTTCAATAGGAGCATTGTTTCGCCTACATTTAAACCACTGCTCCCCAAAATGGGATGTACCGCCTTTACAGATAGCGGAACCGCCAAAAGGGATGAGTCAATAGAAGCCTCGAATGCAGTTAGGGAAAGTTTAACAAAAATAAGGAGTCGAGGAAAGCATAAATTGCATCTTCGTCATATTTAATAGAACGAAAGTTTAGACCGGCTGCAATTTTCTTTAAAATAATAATAATAATAATATATATGGGTGCGGGGCCTTCTACGCACCCATATATAAATATATATGGGTGCGTAGAAGATCTACCTCCCCGTGGTGCACCTGGTAACACTTTTTAGTGGCTAAAAGATCTACAACTTGGCATTTTTGTTAGATTAATGAACTCTGTTTCACCACGTTTTGTTGTATTTGTTGTATTATTTTGTTGTATGTTTTTTTTTTTTTCGTTGTTCTTTTTTTGCTGTAACTGTTCATAATCTGCCATTGGAAATAATAATAAAAAATAAAATAAAAGAAATAATATATATATATATATATATATATATATATATATATATGTATATATATGTATATATTGTATAGAATAAAAACAAATTATATATAATAATCATAAAACAAAAATTTCATGCGTGATATAAAATGAATTTGATAAGTTTTTTACTATGTGGTTCAATTTTTGAAGTAAACAAACACAAAAATGATTAATCAAATACTTTTCATTGTTTGTTTATTATGTCGATTTCTAAAAATCATTTGTTTGTTTACGCATTTTAATGTATTATTTAGCATCAACCACATCCATGTTATTGAACACAAATTTAAAATGAAACATGTTTTTAACAATAAATAACTTAGACTTATATATATATATATATATATATTCAGGACTTTATTGACAATGGATCTGATCTTCTAGTTCGTATTAATATAGAAAACTTTGAAAAAATATTTTTCCGATTTTTAAATGTTTACTTTTTTATTAAACTAACACGCAAAGATTGTATATCCTGTTTTAAACTTTCATTAAAACTTGAAAATCTTTTAATTACCGATTATATTTTTATATAAATAGGCATTTGAGGAGAATTACAAAAAAGGGAGAAAAAACATCATCGCATTCTATGAATCCTTGACTTAAAAGCGATACAAAAGGAGATAGATTTAAAAGCGTATTTTTCATCAGCTGTCTGTCTGTATCGTCTGGAAAATCTTGTTGTGTCTACGCGAAGAAAAATAAACTCAGCAATAATCAGATAAAGCTGCGATTGCATGTTATTGCACTACAAAATTGTGTAACTGTTGAAATCAATCAGTTAATTTTAACAGCTCACTTCACAAACAACTGAGGAGACAAGACATTAAAAATCGCACAGCTCATTTGAAACATCGTTAAGATATTTAGCACAGCATTGAGTATTATTGGTCGTCACCCAATTATTTGCCTTCAATAGGAGCATTGTTTCGCCCACATTTAAATCACTGCTTCCCAAAATGGGACGTACCGCCAAAAGAGATGCAGTAGTCTTGCCTCGGATGCATTTAAGGGATGTTTAATAAAAATAATATAAAATTTTTTTTTAAAAGTCAATTCCTCCTTTTTTCAATTCCTTCTATTAGCTCACACTCTCCCTGTATATATCTTGTTCAGATTTTCAATCGTTAATAAAATACTTTTTATTCATCCACTAACATTACATTCAAATACATTTTAGTACTTACGTATTAACGGTACTTTGGCGACAGTTGCGCCAATAAAGAGCACACGCGTTAACTGCAACTACAGATTTGGCGCCAATCTACACTTAAAATTTTTGTTCCAAATAATAAAATATATATGAATCACTTCATTTAAAATCAAAACGCTTTCAAAATGTTTTTATTCCAAATAATAAAGATTGGCGACACTTAAAAACCGCGAAGTCTGTCGCCAAGGTACCGTTAATACGTAAGTACCTACATTTTTTTTGAACTTGTAGTAGATGACACTGGATGTTAATACAATTTTTTCAAATATTAATTCAGTAATTAATTTTTAATACTTTAAATAGAGTTTCAGCAGTTTGTAATGAAAATTAAAATCAACAGGCAGTAGCTGAATCGGTAAAATGCAAAGATGTCAGCATTTTTCACGTGAAGGTGAAGAATGAGAGGTCAATTCTTGCGAAAATCAATAATTTTTTGATAAATTTTCCTTTAAATAGACGTTTTATCCAATTGATTTTCGAGAGTGAATTAGCAGTTGTGGCTTAGGGGTTAAAATTGAAGACATTTTATGCTTTGGGTTCAATTCCGAATTCTCTCCTTAAAGTCTTTGTCATCAATTGTTGGTCACTCGTGTTGTTTGTTTCTTATCCCACTTGACTGGCCAAGCCCACGAGACCATACGTACTCATGGTTGAAGGGGAAGGAAGCAGCTTCTGTTGTGATGGAGCACCCGTAGGTAGAAGTCTGACTTTGGCTCCGTGACGCTCTTACGGTCATAGGAGACCGGGACCTACGACTTAAAGTGGATTGGCACCGCCGAACCACTACAAATATCCATGGTCCCAATGCCGGGTGTTCGACTGACCCAAAAACCTGTGATCAACGAGCATCAGAGCGCTGGCCAAGACACTCGGCCATTCAGGTCCCAAATTTGTGACGAATGCCATCCGGCACGCGGTGTTCGAGCCAGGTGGTCACCCACCCAAGTACTGACCGGGCAAAATGATGCTTGACTTCGGTGATCTAACGAGAACCGGTATATTCACCACGGTATGGCCGTTGGCTCTAGGTCACTCTTTGTTGACCTAAGTAGGAATTGACTTAAAATTTTTTTTTTTTTATATATATTACCTGTTTTCACTATATTGCAGAAAGTCCTTTATATATAATTTTCATTCATTTTTTTAAGTTAGAAAAAATTATCTTTCTCTCTCACACATACAGACTTTCCATCTCCCTCACTAATTTACTCACGTGTTTCATTTTCCATTTTGTTCCCTCCTTGACTCAGACTAGAACCCAGAGAGAAAACAGAAATTTTTTTTCGAGCCATCTACACGCTTCGCCGCTGACGGTATTCATTCCTAAATTTATATCCTGCTAAATATCTTATATACGAGAAATTTTTTTCCCCCATATAAAACTAAAATTAATTAATGAATTAATATTTGAAAAAATTGTATTAACATCAAGTGTCACCCACTACAAGTTCAAAAAAATGTATTTGAACTTGAGTGGATGAATAAAAAGTATTTTATAAACGATTGAAACTTTGAACAAGATATATATAGGGGGAGAATATGAGCTAATAGAAGGAATTGAATAAAGAGTCATAGAAAACATAAATTGCATTTTCTTCGTCATATTTAACGGAACGAAACTTAACTTAGTAAAGTTAGTTTTTAAACATAAAATAATAAAAATAATATAATATAATATATTTTTTTGATATTATATATTATAAATATTATATAATTATTTATTAATAAGGAAATAGCCAACTGGAGTCGATGGTCGAGTGACTAGCGCTGCGGCGATGGATGCCCAGGTTTTGGGTTCGAGTCTGAGTGGTGCCATGTGTAGTGGTTAAACCGTTGAGCGTAATGCTAACAAGTCTACCCCGTAAAAAGGAAACTTCTGTTTCGAAATCTGCCAGTAGACACACGATCTTATCCCACCATAGGACTGTTGCGCCAATGAAGAAAAATTAACCAACTGCACATAGCGAATCATGGTTATGTAGACATACTGCTGACAAAAATAGAACCAAGGATTAATACTTATAACAATCCGCCAGGTTCATATGTTTCATTAGAATCATTTTAAATATTATTCACAATTTTTTTTTTCTTTTCATATTATGCTTAGTTATCTAGCTATATATTGTTTATTTCTTATATATATTCTTTCTTCTTATATGTATTCTTACTTCGTTACATATTGTTTTTACTACTATATAATGTGAATGCTAATATGATGCTATATTAGTTTACATAATTTTTATAATTTTAACTTTCAAAATATCTTATTTACAACATCTTTATTTATTGGGCTTCAAGACATAGATAGAGATATATAGATACATTAAATAACGCAAATTTTTTACTATATGGTTCTATTTATTCGCTTAAAGAAGGTAGATTTCCGAGAAGCGAAGAAAATTTATTTCCTGAAAAGAGGATGACAGTTCAAATAAATTTGGTTTGGCTTGTCGCTCTACGATCACTTTTGGGCACATTTCAGGCTAATTAAATCGGGATTTGGTTTGGTTTGCCGCTCTACGGTCATTTTTGTGCACATTTTAGTTTAATTAAATCGGTATTTGGTTTGGTTTGGTTTGTCGCTCTACGGTCATTTTTGTGCACATTTAGGCTAATTAAATCGGGTTTGATTTGCCGCTCTACGGTCATTTTTGTGCACATTTTAGTTTAATTAAATCGGTATTTGGTTTGTCGCTCTACGGTCATTTTTGTGCACATTTTAGGCTAATTAAATCGGGATTTGATTTGCCGCTCTACGGTCATTTTTGTGCACATTTTAGTTTAATTAAATCGGTATTTGGTTTGGTTTGTCGCTCTACGGTCATTTTTGTGCACCTTTAGTTTAATTAAATCGGTATTTGGTTTGTCGCTCTACGGTCATTTTTGTGCACATTTTAGGTTAATTAAATCGGTATTTGGTTTGGTTTGTCGCTCTACGGTCATTTTTGTGCACATTTTAGGCTAATTAAATCGGGAGTTGGTTTGGTTTGTCGCTCTACGGTCATCTTGTGCACACTTTAGGCTAAACAGACCGGGACCTACAGTTTAAAGTGGATTCCGAACCCCTACAAACATTCATGGTACCGCCGGGACTCGAACCAGAAGCCTGTGGTACCGAGCGCCAAAGCGCTAGCCACTCGGCCATTCAGGACACCAATTAAATCGGGACTAACGTGGATTCCTAATCACTAGTACACCACACTATATCACTGTGCCTAGAGCTGAGTGGCGCCTATCAGGGCCGGATTTAAAAGAAAAGAGGCCCTAGGCTATTCCACTTAGGAGGCCCTTTCACCTCCCCTTTTTAAGTTAGCAAATTACATGAGAGATAATAAAATATATCATTACTGTGATATATATCAATATGTTAAATGAAACATGTTGTGATGTGTACTAATCTTTATAAAAAATTTGGCACAAAAAAAAAGTCGAGAACACTTATTTGGACATTTATTCTCAGCACCCTATATAGTACTTGTAACAATAACTAATCAAACATAACACACAACATTTACAAAGAAACAAAATTCAAATAATGAAAATCTTTGCCCACGAAAATAAAATATGCAATAAAAATTATCCTATTTTCTATCAAATTAAATAAAATATATTCAATACATTGAAGATTAAAGCAAATTCAATTCAGATAAATTTATTTCATAATTTCTCCTTATTTTCGATTCAGTGTTTTAGTGTTTACTGTTTTTAGAATAGTGAAATTCTAACTTTTCTAACAATTTGAATGTTGGCCCCCCTTGATCTTGAGGCTAGGCTGAAGCCTAATTAGCCTATAGAAAAATCGGGCCCTGGCCCCTATACAGTTTGGGAATGATGTGGGTGAGAAGTCTGATTGGGCTCTGTGGCGTTCTACGGTCATATGAGACCGGGATCTACGGCTTAAAGTGGATTCCGAACCACTACAAACATCCATGTTACCGTCGGGACTCGAACCCCAAACCTGTGTCACCGAGTGCCAGACGGCCATTCAGGGCCCAATTTCGAACCACTATCAAACATCCATTCCGCTGCCAGGATTACCTGAAGTCTGTGGAACCAAAGGCCAGAGTGTGAGCCAATTGGTCATCAGGCCAGTTTTAAACATTACATTCAGGACCGGATTTTCCTATAGGCTAACTAGGCTTCAGTCTAGGACCTCAAGATCAAGAAGGGTCTATATTAAAATTGTTAGCAAAATTTGAATAATACTATTCTAAAAACAGTAAACACTAAAATACATCAAAAACAAATAATATAAAAAAAAAAAAAATTAAAGTCAATTCCTACTTTTTTTTCACTATATTATAGAAAGACCTTTATAAATAATTTTCATTCATTTTTTTAAGTTTATCTGGCGCCATCTATTGGTAGATATATGCAACTTAAATGTAAAAAAAAAAACTAAATTTAATTAGTTAAATTTAATTACAGAATTAATATTTGAAAAAACTGCATTAACATCAAGTGTCATCCACTGCAAGTTCAAAAAAAATGTTTTTGAACTTGAGTGAATGAATAAAAAGTATTTTATGAACGATTAAAAATTTGAACAAGATATATAAAGGGAGAGTGTGAGCTAATAAAAGGAATTGAACAAGAAGAAATTCTACACATATGACTAATAAACAAACATAAAAATGTATTAGTTAAGATCAATGCATTCGGCTCATTGGGTCTGTTCGTTTGTATATACTAGATTGCACCAAAGTATAGTTCATACGTTCACTGATTGCTATGGCAAATATTGACGCGCCTTATACTACTAAATTCTGATTTGTTATTGCATAAATAAATGCAGATTAGTGTAGATTGGAACAGACAAATGAATAGACCTATTGATATCCCGACGTTCGGTTATATTCGTATTACTTCGATAATATGAAATACCTTAATATAAAATACGAAATATGAAACAATAGTTTCGCAGTCAAAGATTTTTATTATTTGAATTTTGTTTCTTTGTAAATGTTGTGTGTTATGTTTGATTAGTTATTGTTACAAGTACTATATAGGGTGCTGAGAATAAATGTCCAAATAAGTATTCTCGACTTTTTTTTTGTGCTACATTTCTTATAAAGATGAGTACCAAACAAAACATGTTTCATTTAACATATTGATATATATCACAGTAATGATGCATTTTATTATCTCTCGTGTAATTTACAAACTTAAAAATGGGAGGTGAAAGGGCCTCATTAGTGGAATAGAATAGGGCCATTTTTTCATCTAAATCCGGCCCTGATTACATTACATAAATCTTTGATTCCGATGGTACTCTCAGAAAAGTACATTTAAACTCATGAATTTCGTGACGATTTTTTTTTTTTTTTTCAATTCCTTCTATTAGCTCACACTCTCCCTATATATATCTTGTTCAAATTTTCAATCGTTCATAAAATACTTTTTATTCATCCACTCAAGTTCAAATACATCTTTTTTTAAACTTGTAATGGATGACACTTGATGTTAATACAGTTTTTAAATATTAATTCTTCATTAAATTGAATTAATTAATTTTTTTTTTTTTAGATTTAAATTGCGTATATTTACCAATAGATGGCCCCAGATAAACTTTAAAAAATGAATGAGAATTATTTATAATGGACTTTCTGCAATATAGTGACAAAAAAATTAGGAATTGACATAATTTTTTTTATTTTTTATATTACTTATTTTTATTCATAAAATGTATGGGTATTGTTTTTGGGATCACTTTTTTCCGTATCCTTAATCACTTTCAACTTTTGATAATTTCATTGAAATCTATAATTTTTTTTTAAATTTCTGTCGCGGGTTTTTCATACAAAATATTTATTTATATATTTTTTTATTTGATACATTTTGTTTTCTTTCTCAAATCTGAGGGTTTTATAACAAAAAAAAACCTAAATTTATTAATTTTTTCGTACAACAATTAATTGTACAAAATATTAAATATCACAATTTTAAAAATAGTTAATCACTTAATATATGCATATAAGGCGCACGGTGACATCCGTTTCGGGTTCGAGTCCCGCTGGTGC